TTTGCCTGGGCAAGATACTCTAACTGCTCTTTGGTGAGACCCACGGTGAGTTGCCCTTTTAGGATGGCTATAGTTGCTGGAATTGCACCCTGAAAGTGAATTAAGTTTGTCTTAAAACATTTAAAAAATAAATACAAATTCTGGTAGCAGTAATTAATTTAGTAATTTTAGTAGCAGTAGATCTTCTTATGAAAGAGTTCGTCCAGAGTAGTACTGCCACTTTACCTATTTCTGCCGCCAAGCAGTAATGTCAGCATTACTGTGGTCCGGTTTTGAAGGGTAAGGGTTCTGGTGAAATTACAGGCACATGAGACTTGCCAACTTATGGGCGGGACGGGCGCAGTGGCAGTGCCCCTCAGATATTTGTGATTTAAAGCTCTGAGTGGCATTGCAACTGTAGCTTACCATCAGGAGCACGACTTGTTCGTGCCGTCACTTATTATAATTAAAAAAATTCATTTCTTAGTGAAATACAGGTAGTATAGAAGTTGACATGTACAAAACAAGCATGGTTTCATTATATTCGGTCAAACATTAGGCATACGTATATTATACATTTATTCATGCCTTCCTACTTAAAGAGTACTATTCAATTTTCCCTTCATTCAAAGCGTGCGCAGAGCCCGGTAAGGGTATCGAACACTCGCTGCATGTTCGATGTTGCGCAGAGTATTACAAAATGTTAGAGGCAGTAGTTTCCTTGAAGAAAAATATTTAAAACTTAGGTTGTGTTTTTTACATATTCATCTCTTACAATATTTATCTCGAAGTAATAAGTCATTATAATAACTAACTAAATATATTAAAATATGGGTAAAGTTTTTTTGATATAATAAAGTTGCAAAATATAACTAGATATCAAAATAATAATAATAATTTTAATGGCATCAATATAAATACAAACGTCAAAAATTAGACTACTCGTAATATATGGGCATCGAGTATATATACTCGATGTACATGGGTAACTTCTAATAAATAATGTACAAAAGTTGAAAGTCCGTTGAATGTCCGCATCTGTAAATAACAAATCCCTAATGTTAGGGATTTCTCATTTAAAAATTGGACACTGTATGGTATGTAGGTACGGACAACGGCACATCAGACCACACATTTTTGTACGAAAATTGCCTCCAGTGCAACGGAACAAGATACGTCAATGTATAGCTTGATATGCTGGCGTGTGTACATTAAGATTTTATTAGTCAAGGGGTTGTTTAATTGTTTTATGCATTACGTAGAGATATGTTCAGCCTGATTTCAGAAGCATAATCTGACCCAATAGAGTGCATACTCTAAAATATCGTTTATTATATTTATTTTGGAGGCAAAAAAAGACAAAATGGTACGAAATAGCTTATTTTCTAAACGAAGTAAAGGGTTATTTATACGCAATTGGATTTGTAAATTGGTGCTAGCTAAGATCGTAAATCAGTGTTAATCTGCCAAGCCACTGGGGTAGTTAAAATATGTAGCTGTTCTAAATTTAGATTTCACCTCATTTCTACTCCTGTCACCAGCTTGATGGAACTGTCGATTGACGTCAGGTAGAATTCACACGTATAACGAATGTTCGAGAAATGCTATTATTGACTTAGCGAAGCAATTTATGTACCGTATTAAAGACCTGCGTAACTTTGTTAGTGGTACACACGGCGAAAAGGTTGAGAAGGTTACTGGGAAATACAGTATGATAAGTGGAAATTAATAATGAAATTTATCCGTGCAAAAAGGACACATTCAAATCGTATAATATTATAATATCTGCATTGATGATCAAATTTGGGACCTTTGCTACATAAATAAGGGCGGGTATTTTCCACGTTGATTTTCTTGTCTCTCTCGGATTTTCTTGGTCGATCAGTGTCGGGTTGATTAATGCATCCTGCGTCCGAGTAACATGCGTGATAATAGAAAGAAAACCTCAGATGCGGTCGGCACCCGTTTGCAGTAGAATAATGTACGCATAGTGTTAAATTAAATACACAGTGATCCATTTTGCTTGGTGTCATTTCCCTATACGATACTAAAACTTTGGCGGAGTTTATTTTAAACGGCTTTCTAGTCAATTTATATATTCCATTCTTCTTATTCATCCGATTCCGTTAAAACTTTCGTGTAATGGTGTTCCCGCGCCTGTAAAAGTTTTCAATCCTACTGCTAAATACGGGTCTCCTCTAAGGAGAAGGCAGGGTTTTAGCCATATTGTGCTGAGCTAAAAACAAACGCTTTTTAAAAAAAACACCGTAGGAATAAACTTAAATGAATCTATATCGGGACCACAATGCGTGTTGGGAACTCTGTGTGGCAGCTTACCTACCGCCTCGCAAGCAGTTTTTCGGGATTTATGTGCGAAATTTCATTTAAAATTTACAATGAACAACAAAACAAATGGTGAAGGAAAACGAGGAAAACGTCGTGAAAAAACCTATACACATCTGAAAAACAATGTAACTTAAATAAACAATACTACATTTAATCTTAAATAAATATGATAGACATATAATATTAAACATATCAATCAATACATAAATATGTAATTAAATAGAATGTAAAATAATGTTATTGGAAAATATTTCCATATTATGTAAATGTAATGGATACTAATTATTATACATAGTAACTAGGTCATAACTAAGCATCGAGTATATAACCAGAAATAGAGACGAAATAAGGGCCATATATTCCTGGTAACATATTAGAGATACAGCTCTTATAAATATCAACTTTGTTTGCACTGAAATATAGACAGGCCAACTACTGACTTGTGTCTACGTCTCCGTATATTCCAAAAAATATTCTGTATTGATTGTAATAAAGGTAATATCTCTAACAATGCCGTGCTGTTCTATTCTAAAAACAGCAAAACATGTACTTACAAAACAAACGGAATCACATTTCATCGGTAATTAAATATTAAATATGTAATTTTGCAATTTACGTCCATTATAGCAAAGCTCAAGTTAACTGGTCGATTTGAAGTGGAACAGTTGACGACACCCATTGACGACACCCGTCAATTGTTTCGAACTCGGGCTAGCAAATCGGAGCGCAGTTGTCACAGTAATGATATGGCAGAATAGCTTTCAAATAAATTTAATGACATTTCGTCTCTGTTTCTGTTTATATACTCGATGTAACTAAGTAATATAATTAGAAGCTTGTCAAAGCTACAAGCTTTCTAATCTAGTATTGCGAAATGCAAAATGTGAATATACTATAATTACTTTTATATGTAATTGAGAAAATATTGTCATATCCAACTGGGCCAATAAATATTTTAAATATTGTAAATCCTCCTCTCTTTAAATAAAATTTGCAGTGCCCTACAGGGTCTACAATGCGCTGTTACCTTAGCTTTAAGCCATTGTCATCTTTGTAACATTAGGCATGGTAAATGCAATAAAGAATTGAATTGAACTTTCGTGTGGGAACTACAATCTAACTCTCACTGTGAGAGGAGGCCTGTGCCCCAGAAGTGGGACTATATACATATATAGGCTAACTATTATTATTTCTTATCACTCTTTGTGCTAAATGTTTTAGATTGCGCCCTCCAGATAACACAAAGATACTTACTCGTCGTCTGATAATATCCTCGACTTGTATTGCGGTTTGTAAGTTGCTTGGATATGGCATTCCATGTGTAATAATGGTTGACTCTAAAGCGACAATAGGTTGACCTGTAGCTTTGGCCATCTGGACCTCCTCGGAGTAAACGAGAGGGGCGGATGCGATCCCTCTTCGGAAAGTGTACGCCTGAGGGCCTCTCGACATAACTTTCAGTAGATACGCCATCGTGATCCCTAAAAATAGATATTGGGTTATAAACAATGGCCCTTCTTGTTTTCAGTATGTATCACAACTTCGTTATGATATTGTCTTCTTTATTAACCGTGGGTGTACATAATATATTACATGATGTTAAGAGAGGGAGAGCAAGTACAAAAACGATGTAGTACACTGTAATTAATTATTTTCTTCTTATCGTATCGATGACATACGCTATAATACTTGGCATCGTGGTGAAAGGTTTTGCCAATCGGAGTACAGTACTCGCCGATTGTTGACCTATTTGCGCCAGACGTACAGGACGGAATGATACGTCGCGATGCGGGGACGCTTCTTTTGTACGTCTAATTACTTATTACGACTGATCGGAGTAGGTAAAGTTTGTTTACCTAAACTTCGTGGAACAGAGACAGAAAGTGGAGACTACCTTGCGATTACATTTTTTTGCACTGAGTTTTTTCGGGATTCGGGAAATGACTAAAGTACATTAAAAATTGACGTTATTTGGGATAGGTAGTAGATAGACTATACATGTATTTATCTACACTTCGGGACAACTTGCTGCAGCTGCCAAATTTTCGGACTATTTAGAAAAACGCAGACAAATAAAATCAAAATTTTTATAATTACACTCAACCTACCTATCCCACATAACGTAAATTTTAATGTAAAAAAATCCGGGACAAATAAACGTAGTCCTAAGGCAGTCTTCACTTTCTGACGAAATTTAGGTAAATAAACTACATATTCTTATCACTCTGCTGATCAAAATAGGTAGTTAATAGAGGTTAAATCATTATTTTAACTGCCTCAGTGGTCGAATGGTACAGCAGAGCGTGGCAGACCATAGCATGGTCCCCGGCCCCGGGTTCGATTCCCGGGCCGGGAGAAATATTTGTATGGCCTACATTTATTTCTCTCGTGAGTTTGGGTGTAATTTGTGGTGCTCTATGTATGTCTCCATGGCACCCGCGACACAGGGTTTCCCTAGTTTCCATAGCCAGGTTATGAGTGTGTACGTTATTATTATTATTATATTTATTTTAGACTCTCGCCTCCCTCAAGGCCTAAAAGATTAATTTTGAATTTTTAAATGGGAGAGGCGGTATTTCCCAGCAACAATTCGTGTCGTATCGAGCAGAACCGCCTTCTGCATTTGTGCTGGAAGTGACACGCCACAGAAATCCAATCGCCTCAAGCTGTTAGAAAGGCTGACTGGAATTAACCCATTTGCGGACAAAACAATTGGGATTATTTCAGTGGAAGCCACATCCCACATATCGGTGATCTCGTGCGCCAGGTCGAGATACATTTGGCGTTTCCCGGTTACGGCTTTCACGAGACCCTCGTCATGCGGCATGATAACGTGCATAAGAAATACTCTCGACTGCGATCGATCCAATATCACAATATCAGGCTTATTCGCAAGAATAGTCCTGTTCATGATAATGGATCGGTCCCAATATATTTTGGTGCGGTCATCTTCGAGTATTGGCTCCGGTGAATACTTGTAATATGGCAACCTCTGTTGCACGAATCCGTACTTCAGAGCGAGCTCTTGGTGTAATATTTTAGCTTATTATTATTATTATTTATTTTATTCTTCTCAGCTTATTAGCTGGTTTGAACCACATTTATTTTATTATTATTATTATTTATTTTATTCTTCTCCGCTTGTTAGCTGGTTTGAAACACGTTTATTTTATTATTATTATTATTGTTATTATTATTGTTATTATTATTGTTATTATTATTGTTACTGCTTATTACTAACAAACAGAGGCAAAGTTGGTAGGCAACAAAAAAGTGGGGGTCATCGGGAAGGACGCTTGAACATGTAAACATGCTTCGTTACTAATGGATACAGATCTAAAAATTATCATTTTTTTATTTTATTTACTTACCCATATTACCATAATTTATTATCTAGGTATTTGGCACTCACAAACCTAAAGGGTTTGTTTGAGATCTGACTCAGATACAGTTCAACAACAAACTCAAAAATTTATGTTCAGTAAATTTACTAAATTTTTTTTTAAGTCATGGAACAAAATTTATTGTTTATGATGTTAATAATATAGGCCTGCGAGATTGTCAGTATTTTACAAATAACCCTGTTATTTTATATTACTAACAGGACACCGCGTCTACAAAGACTGTTTATTTTCATATGGCAAAGGGTTAGGTAAACCATGAAGTACAACCAACATGTTGGTAAATAGGAAGCTAAAGGCACATATATCACACAGAATTAGTTATAAGCTCAGTTTAAACCATAGTATTATTTGAATCGATATTTTCATTTATTTTAAAATACTTATATTAATATTTCAAGGTAGCTAGCGTGGCTTATCAGTGCATCGATAATTAAAACAAATGATCAACTATTAAGGGTACAAAGATAGCTAGATACAATTAGACCAATAGTACATATAAGTATTAAGTTTTATATATTAACGAGCGTGAAATTACTGTGTCATATCGACGGGGATAGTGCAATTACGCGTAACCAGCGTTTGATTATGAGTCTCTATTTCGGTAATTTAGTCGTCAAATTAAACCTGCATAAATGCCGCGGCAACCAAATGAGCGTGATTACGGGAATCTATAGTTATAAGTCCATAGACAACATAAATTAACGCTTACTGTGCAAAAACGGAAGTCGTAGCCATTGAAATAACAAAGTAAGAACGTTAAATCCCTCTGCTGTGAAAATTTGGTTTGGCGCAGATACGCGCTTTTTACCAATACTATACATACGCGGATTTGCACCTGACGATATGTAAAAAAGATGTGAATGTGATGAATACAATTACATCTAGACATGACAATTTGCATAGCTATTGCTATAAGTAAGTATGATCCCACTGTGGTCAAGTACAGAACAAAGAACGATTACAATTGAAGGTCTTGGCCGGTAAAAAAATATAAGTATAAAAAAAACAATCAAGTGACGGGACGAGAAAGTCATGTGCCTGGTGATAAGCTACACGCCTGTCCATAACAGTTGTTGCGCCACTCAGAGCTTCAAATCGCAAAGATCTGAGGGGCACTGTCTCTGCTCCATGTCCCATGTGTCGTAATTTCACCTGCACATTTACCTTTCAAAACTGAAATTTTCTATTAATTTCTATAAGGACACATACTACGTTATATTTATTTGATTTTAAATATTATTGCAACGTTCCCAATATAATCCAACCTTCAAACTATCTATGTCAGAACAATCTATCGCGGAGCCTTGAGATAGACTCCAGACCCCTACAAATTGCTTCGGACGTATCAAATATGTTTGTGAGTAGCTATCGATTCGTACAGTGCTATTTTCCAAAGTCTAGGCCTTGGAGTATCGGTTGTTAACCCATTTCATTGCAATATGTCGTTTCATCCGTTTACTACAGTAATTAAAATCACCCTGAAGATTGTTTTTGAATTCTTAACAAACACCAGAGATATTAATGATTAAACTCATGTTTACAAAACGTTTATTTTCGAATGTCTCTGAGAGAACAACAACGTAAGGCATAGATTGCAAAAAACCTTTAAGACTCATCTGTATTCTAAGTTACAACTTATCTATTTTACTTTGTTTAACCACAAGCGCGTGGCCGATATATGGCGTATGAAATTGATACTAATACTTAGAGGTCAAAGTCATTTGCTACTGTTCAAGCCTTAAAGCGAGGTAGCCCCGAAATCCGCGCGCTTAAAATTAGTATGAATAAAATAAGAACAGGTGGAGAAAATTTGCCACAGTTCCGACGTTGACAAGCGCTCGATGTTGATTGTTGGGGCTGCGGACGCGACGCGGCGTCGTTAAACCGCTGGGCAATTTTCAAGTTTTGATATAAATGTGAATTTAAGAACTATAGGGCTTCAGTTGAAAACGAAAATTTAAGAGATTCTCTGTAATACTTAAAGATAAATATCTCCATCTTAAAATTATGTACAAAGTTTGATAGTTTATTCTTAAATAATTACTTTTAAACTTTTATTTTAACCTGTTTTCGGATTGTTATAAGATCTGGTAAAATACATCCTTTCGTGTAATTAATTAACATAGTTTTTAGACAAATCTTAGGTATATCGTGTATTTTTTGTAAGATCGTTATTTAATAGTAAATACCGAAACCATTGACTATGACCGAAACCATTTGATTAGCAAAACAGTTTTTCCCGCTGCTCCTCTCGTGACTCTCCATGAGGTTAAATCGTTCAAAACGGCTGCGCTTGTGTACAATCAACGACTACAGCATGCCTTGTGGAGAGGCGAATCATGTGTCGGGTATATTTTTGGTGGTGGTGTTTGTGACTGTAGTTGTATAGTGTCATTTATTTTACAAATTTTATGTGCAAGGAGGTGGTCAAATTAAATGCATGAAAAAAAAATTCAAGCACAAATCCAGCTATTGTGCACGATTTGACCTTCTTCACTGGGTTCGTGGAGTAGCAAAGTATTTTATTTTCATTTTTTTTGCTTTCACAATTAAAATCATCACATTCTTAGAATAATAACGCATAGAATGATAGTTTCATATCAAACGAACTGTCACAAGTGAGGCAAAAATCAAATTCATGTAGGCTAGTTTTAGTAGTAGGTTAATTTTCGGTTTTAGTGAATATTTATATAAAAATACAAGTTGAAACGCGTTACTTCCTTATGGAATGTGATGTTAGTATCTATTTTATGTTTGTCTGACGTATTTTTACACTCATTTACCGCACATTTCGTCATTTTTAGCTAAAATTCTTGATCTGTTCGCGGTGCAAGTGGACCTTGAGTACTGAAGGCCCGCCCGCTCGTGTAGGCCCTTTTGGCGCGCTGCAATTTGCCTCACTTAGCGTGTGCGGACTAGGTTTCTATGCGTTATTATTCTAAGATCACATTAATATTTCTTTTTAAAGTCCTGTGCTCTAATCTGTCAATTGTAATTTCATAAACCATGTCACAAAGTATCTCTTTTTAGTTCTGAATCACAATTGTATTGTCTGTGGTACTCGCTACTATAATAAGTTAATGAGATAGTACTGTACATTGTAAGTCAATGTGTACAGTTCTTTTATTTTTTTCCATTCTATAAGCTGTACACGGAACCTTAGAACTATAATGAATATCAAAAAAAGAACGTATTTTTGCTAATTAAAATATGAAATAACGCGCTACTCATATTCCCTACTGTTAAATTGGCCTAAAGGTCGACCGGGCAACAAACCTTTGTTTAAAAAAAGATTGGTTAAAATATAAGCGGTACTTGGCTACTTCTATTCTATTTTTCTTTGAAAATGTTGTCTTGGATTGTTAACAAAGTATACATTAAATATTATTACTTTTATTATTTTATTTATTCGTAGAAAAAGTATTGTATGCAATTATTACATAATTAGGTCTTAAAATCTAGTACCTATCTCTTAGGCCACTCGGCTTCGGTACTCGACTTCAAGAACTCTCATTATGCAATGAGGGCGCATAAAATACTATTTAGTGACAGGCTAAAAATATTGTTTGTCGTGTTTAATAACACTGACATAAAATTAATAGATACTTTTGTAAATGCTATGATTATCAAGTTCAATAATCTCAGTACAGAGTACTAAAAAAAACTGACCTCAAAAGTACGTTGAATTACGTCTATTTGCTAAGTTTTATTGAAATATCCCCTAGTTCGCCACTATACAGGACTTGACACTGGAGATAATAATAATCGATTCTCACTAGTCAAAGTATATTGAGAGAAAAACGCCTTGAATTGGAGAAATACCAAAATCAACCTTTAAAATAATTGCTCCTAAATTAAAGTTAGGCACTATTTATAAAAATGAATTTTTATGCGTGAACAGTCCCCTTAAAGGTGGATGATTTTCTTCAAAATGAAATGGGACTACTATGGAAGTACCCCCTTTCCGACAAAAAAAGAATCATGAAAATCGGTTCACAAATACCGGAGTTATCGCGTAACATACATACAAAAAAAAAGAACATACAGTCGAATTGAGAACCTCTTTTTTGAAGTCGGTTAATAAAGTAACCGAGGGGTTCACTTAATTCTTAAATTACTTGCTACCATGGAAGAGGGGTTAGTTTTCCCTTGTTTTCCCGCTTCAAGCGAAATCCCCTACAAAGGAGATTTATTGACGTAATATCTCAGTATCCTAGCAACAAAAACTTTTATTTATACTCAACAGCTGTGCTCGCGACAATTGTCAGTTTTTTTCAAACGCTTTTCCTAGTTCACGCATTTTCTTGTCGATAGCATTTTAATCTTTAGTTTTTAATCAAGTTTATTAAAAGGTATGAAATAAATTGAAACATATATTTTAAACATCACATTACTAATTTCAAAGTCTAGGTCGTTAGTGCATATTGTTAAATTTAGAGTTCTTCAGTCTTTTCAAATGTAAGTACTCATTAGTTTACTCATTATATTTTGTTAATTTGCTTATTATACTCATTCCTTTATCCTTTGGTGCCTTTTTTATCACAAGCCATCATGGGCGATAAATAGTGTCAGCACGATCAATGTACAATTGCTTAAATCCCATGTGATTGAGTGTCACTTTTTTGTAATCATGCTTTCGCCTTTACTTTTAGTACATACATTTAGTGGTACTTTTCTCATGTGATAATAATTATTTAAATACGCAAACCCAAACTCAAATAGCCGCAATTTCTTAGGTAAGCAAAGAAATCGTCGTTTTGATTAAACTCTGCTATTCATTCTTAAGGCAAATTCCTGATTTGAGAAGAATAAGTAAGAAACTACAGAGGTTACTCCTTGTAAATGTAAATGCAGATTACCACTGCAGTCGAGTGGCTTGCACACCGGTTTTCATGGTGTCGCAATCTTAGAGGTACCGGGTTCAACTCTCTCTCGGGTCAATGTAGAAAAACCCAACTTTTCCTTTTTAAATATTGTCTCGAGCTTGGTTGTTTGTGGTGCCATTGTCATTTCCAATTTCCATACCACAAGTCCTTTAGCTACCTGCTGTGTTATTAGAGCAACGTATGTAATGTTTTCTAATATTTATACATTTATTATTATTATTTATAAATAAACATTTACACACATTTATCATTTACGATATTTATTTCAAATATGTTATAAATCGAGACTACTTGCAAGAGATAAACGGGTACCATGGATTTTTGTAATCCAAGTACGCAGAAACTGTACATATAGTGTACAGTTTTTGTTTCACTATACTTTTAAACGTCGTGAATGGTAAATTTTGAATATCAACCGAAATAAAAGCATGTATATCGCTGATAAAATGAATCTGTGACTTTGTGAAAACGACTAACTATCAAGAACAGTCAGTTTATTTTTCTCGTATATATCTCGTATTAATGTTATCTTTATCAATACTTTTCATTAAAAAATTATTCCTAACATAAATTCATTTTCGTAAATGTGCTGTGACGCCAGTGTAAGAATGTTAATTTCTTTATACTAATTGCTAGGTATGAAGAAGTTTACGGAAATCCAAACATGCAGCGATATTGTCTTCAAAGCAAATATTTTGTCTCAAACTATACTCTCGTGATGTTAATTTCATGACTTTATATGTAACGCGAATGTTAAGTTATTCAGCAGAGTACACTCATTATCGCTAAACCAGGATTATAATATTGTTTTTTAATTATCCACAAAAACCAGTAGACTTTAAAAGGCTGTTAAGATAGGGTAACGTACATTAAAGTATAACATATGCGTAATACATATTCTGTTGTGTTAATTAGGAGAAAAATAGAACCCATAAAGTAAGTTTTTACAAGTATATTTTACAAGGTTCCTTGAACACGAAACATCTTGAGTTCTTGTCGCTTAGAACAAACAGAGGTAATGACTTGAAGAAATTTTCAAATAAAGGTGTACATTGATTCTGAAAATAATCATTTAAATATTTTTTTATCAACTATCGAAGTACCTACACAGACCGTCATCTTGAAATCACCAGCCCGACATTTAATTTAAACATACAGTCAGGGAAAAACACCACAAATAAAAGTGCCGAAAAATTATTTTAAAAATTAATTGTAGGTACAATGACTGACTTCTTGTATTGTTTGTTGCTGAAGCATGTAGCCCAAGCTCTCATTGACATCTTGAGTTGTGTTTGTCATTATTAGGTTCTTATACATATTTATCAAGTCCAGAATAAAATACCGGCCTAAAAGAACCGGGAACTGACAAGAAAGGTATGAAGGACTTGATACAAAAGGAGGAAGCGAAAGAAATGTGCCAGAATTGTAGCAAATGTCTATAGTCTCCACCTACCCCACTCGCACACAAATAGTATATTAAATGTGTGTGTAATTTTTTAAAACATTTATGTTTATGCATATTCAATAGACTATGGCGTGGGGTCTCCCAAAACTCCCAGGGCTAACGTTCACGGACCCTACTAAGACTCAGTTTCATAGATGTCCCTCGCTGAAGTTCTACCAGGGGCGTCGATTCCCGGATATGCATGTGAAAGGCTCAGGAGGAACCGGCACTGATACTGACAGCAATGCTTTCGCCTTATCTGAAGATTCTGTCATGTAAGTACACAGAGTAACATGGAATATGACCAAGAAATTTTAGGGACAAATTTTGTGTGCGCCATATTTTCTAGTTAATACCGTCATAAACTATATGTAAATTTACTCCCTGTAAGAGTTGAATAATCGTGTCATCTAGTGTTGAGTAACGGAACTCCTTAGCCAAACAATGAAAATGTTTAGCTTAGAATTCCGGAGTTCTTATGCAACATACTTACAGTATATGCTTTAATCCTATTACAATAACTTTTGTTCAGCTTGACATCTACTCCAGACACAATTCGACGGTATACGAGTAGAAAATAATTATAAGGAACATTCTAGGTCTCAGATAAAAGAATATTGGCTTTTAATGTCAATGCAATATAGGTGCTTTTTATTTGTCTTGATGGCACAAAATTATCAAATATTTAGAGAAAGAGTTATACGTTTCATTTGGTGAAAATAACATTTATCGATGATATGAAACTCCTTCACTCGATACAATTTTATTATTACTATTAACCCGACAGCACAAAACAGACAAATAAATCATGTCCACTCAAAATATTTTTGATTTATATAGTGAAGCATACGTTCGGCTCAAGAGAGCGTTAATGCGCAACAAGGTTGGTTATGTATATTTCATAACAATAGCTGCAAGGTAACGGCCACTTCACACTTCACTAGTTTTTTTTTATTCCGTGGTTCTAACCTAAACCCATCCAATTGTTTTATACAAAAAAATTAAGCTGGTTAAAGATAACTTTGAATCCTTAAGCTCACAGAACAGAATAATCAAGCGGAATGTCGGTTCCCTGCCGAAGCGCAACAATTTTTCTTATTTTTATTTTTCACAGTTCTGCACAATTGCGCGCACAAATAATTTTCTTATTTTATTCTTTTTCACACTTCTCAATAAACATACATTTGTGCCAAATTTTGGTTTTGACCACAGATATCTTAGGTGATGGTTCGAAATTTAAAACGTGGGTTTCGTGACAACCTGTAGAATTGTATGTTTTATGTTAATTTCAAATTTCATGCTTACTGGATGAGGAACAGCCGAGTAAATTACATTCGCAATTAGGCCAAGTTGAGTGGACGCAAAGAAAGCTTCGCTCGCACCGCTCGCTGCTCTTCGATTATCATTAACCTTTACCTAAGTGACTTCTGAATGTTTTAATACTAAAAAGGTCCCCACTTTTGCAAGCTTATTTTTAACTGACGAGATACTTCAAATAACAATTTTCGTTCTAGAACATTAAAATGACATTACCATTCCTTACAGACCTGCAATTGTTGTTTGTATCAGTTTGACAGGAATTGCGTGTTCGTTTCAATTTTGTATATCAGACGAAGACGCCTCACAAATGCCTCTAATTTCAGATACGACCCTTCGTTAACGTATGGGCGCGTCAAAGCAGCCGCTATGCCTCAAGTGATTCCCCATTGGGTGCACTATGACAAACGGTGCCTCAATTTCACAGCGTTCTTTAAACAGCCTGTCCATGATAGTCCTGATGAAGCCTTCAGGGTTCGGATCGTCAATATCATTTACTTTCTTGAGGATGACACTTTGACGGTAGTGGAACCTCGAGTTAGGGTAAGTATCTTATTTTAACACTATCATTGCTGTATTTATAATAAAAAAACCAGTAAATAGTGAGGCGATGGAGGCGACAGACACCGGTTTTTACAAACACCGAGTTTAGTCGGATCGAAGTATATTTTTTGTGTTTTTTTAATAATATCAAGTGACGAGACGAACGAGTCATGCACCTGATGGTAAGCGACCGTAACACGCCTGTCCATAACATTTGTAGTGCCGCTCAGAGTTTTAAATCGCAAAGATGTGAAGGGCATTGCCACTGCACCCGTCACCCTGAGACATAAGTTGACAAGTCCCATGTGCCTGTAGTTTCACCAGCACCCTTACCCTTTAAATCCGGAACGCAGTAATGCTGACATTACCGCTTGGCGGCAGAAGCAGGTAAGGTGGCAGTTCTTCCCGGGACGAACTCTTTCACAAGGAACTTCTACTGCTACTAAAAAAGTAAGAGTAATCAGTAGTTCGATTTAGAATTGTATGTTTTACGTTATAATGTAAATAATTAGTTTTTACTGAAATTATAAACTGTTTGTTTGATTTTTGTGTGAATAATAATATACCCTTATTACTCATTATCAAGCCTTCCACAATCATAAAATCTCAATACAAATAACAAAATCGCAACTGTTTCGATACTAACAATTTGGGTTACATTATATTCCGTCAAAAATTATGGACTTTGAATAACCTACTTGTGAACACATTTCGTCGCAGAGGAGCTCATCGTGAAATGGCAGAAATAGGTATGGTGGTACTGGAGGAATCCAGTGCCACCATGCCTATTTCTGCTGCTTTGGAGAGTAAAGTGACGGGCGCAATAGCAGTGCCTCTCAAATCCTTGTAATTTACAGGAAAGGAATGTAGTGCGGGGAGGCTCACAGGCGTGCTCCTGATGGAGTGCACGAAATTGTTAGTCCTACTTTATATAATAAAAATAAAAACCGCTTAGCATTAAAATCAAAACTGGCATTATGAGTCTGTGCATCCTATTGTATAATCATATTGTAATTTATGTGAATATAACGTTTTATTTCATCACTTTTATTCAATTTTGGGGCCCAGAGATTTATGTAAAGTCAATATTTCCGAAGCCCATTGTATAAAAATTACAAGCACTTCCTCGAGAACACTGTATACAAGATCAAAACTGCCTTTGCAATAGATTATGTTTTAGACACAGCATACTTACGGAATTGGAAACAATTTTATTTCACTTTCGATATATTTGTGAACAAAATATTAAAGCTGCGATTTTGGAGTAAAATACAGAGCATTAGATTTTACTATTAGTTGAAGACGCTTCAAAGATGTATTTACATTGTATATGTTGCTTACATGCTGAAGTTAGGGTAGATTGGGGTCACGTTTCAGAAGTTCTTCCGTAATGAGATACTTGCATTAAACTATCGTTAACTACACATAGGTGTTTATATACTATCATTTATATTTATATTTGTTTTAATGAATTGATGTCCAATACTCTCTTGTTTCTTGATTCCTTCAAACGTCGTGTTAAGGATCACTTCCTTAACTACTAAGTCTTTTTTTTTTATCTCCGTTTCTTCATTTTATTTTTCTTTTGCATAGTGTTATAATCTCCTTTGTGTATTTATCTTATTATTATTGCTACTTATTTTATTGAGTTTACTATTATTATTATTTGTCTATATATTCTAATAATGTACGTTTTTGATATTATTGCTTATATATTTAGTTTATTGATGAGTAGTGTATTTATTTATAAGCACTTTCATTACAAGATATTCTTTGGTTGCACCCCCCATTCCAACTGTTCAATTTCTATCCTAAGGTTGCCTGGAAGAAATTGCTACTTAGCAATAAGGCCGCCTGTTGTACATAATCTTACCCTGTGATACTTACATTACTGTTCTGTTTTGTCATTGTAATTTTTAATGTGCAATAAAGAATATTTCATTCATTCATTCAAGAATTAGTGCCGCTGACTTTCTTTCTTCACCATTGCTAGAGTTAGCTGGAAGAGATGTTTTCTCGAGATAAGCTCACCGTTGTATATGTCCTTTGTAACATGTGGTTTTAATGTCTTTTCTTTGTGCAATACATAATGTATTACAGACCTTCAGAGTTGTCGTCTTATAATAATTTCATTCATATATTTGATGACATAAATATTTCTTAAAAATCACACCATAAACTATGGCTGCATTCAAAATTCTATCAGCGACTTCTTCTGCTTGCTATCGTGGTGAAAGGTACTTGCCTTGCAGTACCTTAGTACTCACCGATTGCTACCCTGGGTGCGCCAGGCTACAAAAGAATGGTACTTTTTTTAACCACTTTAACAAAATAAGGAAGTTCTGACTGTATTTTTTTTGTTACATACAAACAGACTGTATTTTTTTGTTACGCGATAGCTCCGGCTTTTGTTTTGGAATATTCTCTCATGATTCTTTTTTTTTTGGAAAGAAGGTCTCTGAGAAGTGGCTCCATTTAATTTTAAAGAAAATATTTCACCTCTAAGGGTGGAATATACTATAACTACTAGGGGATGAATGACTTTTGAGGTCGGTTCTTTTAGTACTTTGTACTGAGATTATATTATAATACCAAGCGAAGGGACGAACAAGTCGTGCGCCTGGCTGTAAGCGACACGCCTATCCATAACAGTTGCAGTGCCACTCAAAACTTTACATCGCAAAGAACTTAGGTGCACTGCCACTGCGCCTGACACCTTGAGACAAGTGCCATGTCGGGAGGCTCCTTTTGTGCCTCTAATTATTTATTAAGTTCACCGGACTACATTACTAACATCATAAACAATAACTTTTGCACCGTGATTTTTTTTAAACATAATAATTTTATTTACCAAACAGAAACTTTTGAATTTTTGTTGTGCTATCTGATAATTCGTACACTCCATGCGGTGACCACACTCTCAGCGACTGATAGTGTGTCTTACAACGTCATTTTGCAAATTCTCTCATGATTCTCTCTGAGCAACAACCGATAGTTTAGTGTTTCTAAGTGCCTCTTTTACTCCTTCTTTTTCTCCTCCCTCATCGGAGGTTGAACAACATCTTGACAATCCGGAATTTAGAAAAAGAAGCATTCCCTCAAATACCAGGAATGTGGGCTTCTACGGACCTTTTGTTTTGATGATAATCTGGAGTAATTTATACTTATCGTTTCTCAGGACGTACCCAATGTCCCTGTATTAATGGTGTTCATTAGTTCGATATTTTTCTTTACTTTATTGAGTATTCATTTCTTTCTACATTTATAACCTTTAGTAGCAGTAAGCTCCTTGTGAAATAGGTCGTCTAAGGAAGTATAAAATACGTAAGGTAGCAAGCTACCTTACTATAGTAACGTAAGTCAAGCAAGCAGTAATGTGAAGACTACTGTGTTTTGGTTGTGAAAGGTAAGAGTGCTAATTAAGTTACAGGCACACGGGACTTGTTAAATTATGTCTCAGGGTGACAGGTATAGTGGCAGTGTCCGCCAGATCTTTGCGATTTAAGGCATTGTAACTACCATGGATAGAGGTGTCGCTTAACAGCAGGAGCACGACTTGTTCGTTCTGTCACTTGATATCATGAAAACCTGGTAACGCCATGAGATTCTCAACGTAAACCAACATCTTGAAAGCCGCTTCTTCTTTTACGACATGATAGTTTCATAAGTGTAACTTATGACTTAAAATTTTTGCCTTCTTCTTCTTATCTTATTGATGACATAAACTGTACTATTGTGGCCCAGAACTCCGCCAGGCCGAGTCTAGAGCACGATGTGAGGTAGACAAAGATACGATTTTAGTATTGAGCGGTGGGAGATAAGCTTGCCATCGTGTTCGGCGTGCTTTCGTGCACACCAGTAACAAAAAAAAAACTTATGTAATGGGACTCTGATGAAGAAAGTCTTTATTTATTTATTGGTTCTATTGCATTTATTACAATATGTATTACATACAATAAATAAAATACGTTGAATGAAAATGAAATGATGAAAATGAATGAAAGTGTCTTTATTATCTTTCACAAAAAAATTGTGTTAAATTTCATTCATTTTTATGGACGACTCAAGCTTGACCAAAAACTTGACAACGCCAAAATCGTTTTCGCAAAAAAGACTTAAAGGTTCCTAAGACAGTTTCTTTGTATCTTTCATGGTTTCGGATTTCCCCATACTGTCCCATAAAAAAACTCTGTATACATATATATATTTATTTGGTTTGTATGTGTGTTAGTGCATGAGTGTGTACATGTATGTGTGTATGATGTGTCACGTTGGAGTGCAAGTTTATGTATGAGAATTATGTATGGTAACTATATATTAGTGATTCGGTGTTTATGTGTTAGGTGACCATCTGAATATCTTATCTAATTGCATAACTTGTAAGTGAACACAGCTTACAAAAAGAACGTAAATAAAGATAAATATGAGTTTAAAAACAGTAACTAAATGTAAAAAAGTAATGCAAACAAAAACAATCAATTCAAGGGTCTCGAGCAGTAAAAAATGTATGAGAAAAAGATAATTTAAATGTCTTTAACAAAGTCTCAGGAATGCTGCTCGAAGTTATTATTTATTACTTTTTAATAGAATTGATGCATCAGGTACGCAATAAGAAAAATAAACGGCATTTTAGATAGAATGTGATTGTCCTGAAAATGTGGATGCAGCTAATCACAGTTAATGGTCCATGTCTAACTAATGACTCTATCACTCTTGTCCACTGAGACAAGAAGGAGACGAGAAAAGCGAACGCATGACAATTGTAGGAAAAAATTCGCTTTCACTAAAAGCATTCACGTCTTTTATTCGTGTTTTTCAAAGATTACATCCTGATTACATGAAGGAACAAAAGAAAGATTGCTGCTTTGAATTCATAAAGCTTTTACGAGTATCTTTTTTTGATTATGTGGAATGTACAATACATAACTTTTTCTTAAAATTTTGCAGACATATAGACCAAAGAAACTGGTATAGCAGTAATTAAGAAAAACTTAATGCTT